TGTGTCCACTCACACGACTTTCCTACCTATTTCAGAATAGTTTTTATATCTTTACATATGTTCATGAATAAACAAAAAAAGAATGAACTAGATTTATTTTCCTAAAAATCAAAAGAAAAAATTTGAGTACGATTTATTTGATAAACTAAAGCAATGTAAACCGGCTTAGGGTGGATCAGTGTAAACATTTCAATACTCTCTAATATTGCAGATCAAAAACTTTTTGCCATAGCTTAGTATTGTTAAACAATAGTTTCTGCTAAAAGTAGAGAAAATAGTGAAGCTTGTGTGATGCGGGCAACAGATTTTCTTACTTTCTCTTAGTAATCTTTTTTCTATCATCCCCCCCTTTCTGACACTAGATATGCACCCGTAATCGTACATTCGAAACTGTATAGCTGTAACTTCGTTAATAGTTGTCCAAAATGAATAGTTTTGTAGGGAATTTCATTAGGGAAATTCACCCGATTGCAATACTTTCCTTACATACTATAGGTAAGAAAGTAGCAAGTTAAAACATGTGTAAAAAATAGAATAAGCTGTATCATCGCTAATACAGGTTCGATTCCGATAATTTTCCTTTTGTTTTGTTGGTAATTTAATTGCCTTTCAAAAGTTTTATTGTAAATTTTATCGTATAATATATACTTAGGGAGTTAGGCTCCATAACATTTTTCTTTTCTTTATAACTTTTTTTCTTGAATTTTCTCGGGAATTTAGAGCATACACGAAAATTGAAAGGACAATTATTAGAACATTATAAGAAAGTTTCATCAAAATCGTCGGAGCCGTTTTCGCGCTACAGTCTATAGAAAAACATGTTTTTCATTTTTGCGAGCAAGCTATTGCGCATGGAGCACCGAATTTCTGTCACAGGCATTAATAATCAAAATCCTACAAAATAAAAAAAGAAGCAACAAAATCGGTTCAGTAGCTCCCGAGAAAATCTTGTCACAGACAGCCCAATGGCTAAAAATGTGTTTTTTGGACTTAAGGGGCTCTGAAATATATAGATCCGTCAAATACTGCATATCGGAAATTTGACGGAATATTTTCCTTAGGTAGGAAAGTAAAAAATATATAAAATCATGGTAATTATTTATTCTGAAAATGCTGATACATTTGTTTCAGTATTACATAAAACATCAAATCAGTTGATTACTTTACCAAACTGGAAGTGTATATCAGTTTAATATGTAACAAACCTCAGCTTAAATAACCAGTGGCTTTAATTTTATAAAACAAGGTTATTTTCCTAAAACTGGGGACACTTAAATCCAGAAGAAGAATGGTTAGAAAAAATAATAGTGAATTATCTATAATTTTAATAAAGTTAGAACTTTCCGTAATTTTCTTTTTAAATCCTATTCTTCCAATGGTTTCAAAAAAGACGAATCTTACTTTTTGAAGTGTAAACTACTTTAGGCGCGTTTTGCACGTTTTCTGTGGAAAGTGAATATAATTGAGCCGTCAGATATTCGATGTGTAACGCTCGAATAAAGTCGGCTGGAGTCGACTGATTGAAATGTTTTTGCATATGAACTAAAATATCTCAAAAACCAAAAACCGGACCAGCATATTGTTAGCGAGGGAAATGCTTATCATTTTATTCTCGTTGTAATTAGGTATCATATACAATTGTATATTAACGCGACGCCGTGTTAGGGAGGTGAAAAGGAAAAAATAGTGCCGAAAACCAAATGACGACAAGTTTTATTGAAGATATGGATTAATTATCTCAGAAACTAGAAACTCAGAAAAATTCGGACCTGCATACTGTAAGCGACAGGAAATGTTTCTGCATTTCATTCTCTTTATAATGATATATTATTTATAATTTTTATTTCATATTATTAATCATTGTTTCCTTCTCTATCGTGTGGTATAAAGCATACATCTTAGTTTTTTAACGAATTTCTTCTAGTTTGCAATACAGCTTTTGGAAATTATTTAGTTCATCTGGTATTGTAGAAAAACGTGTGAACTTAAAAACATAAAACACTCGATTTTCACTTCTTTTAAATCAAAATATGGCCCCTCAGTTGAGAAACTGACTTGGCAAACCTCAAATTCGTGTTCATCGTCCTCAAAAAGACCGAACTGTCAAACCGAAATATCAAAACTTAATTAGAAACCCACACTGCCTTGACTAATGGAATTCCACCTCAGCGTCACTATGCAAGAGTATTGGAAATACCAAATATTAATCATATTTCACTAACTTAACTGATATCACATTAATAATCAACTGTTGATAATTAAATCAATGTATATTAATAATAAAATAAATTAATAAATTCGGTAATATATTGAAGTAGACTATGGTTTACGAATAATAAAAAAATATATTAAATACGAACTTAGCGATAGATGTATTGTTACAATAGTTTTCATAGAGTAATAATAGAAAAGAAAGCTATTTTTTTAATTGTTTTAAAATCAAAATTGACCAAGAATGAAATTGTGATAATATTGTAACATTTGTTTAAAATCATGATGCACATTTAAATGCACCTTGGTACATTTCAAATCATACTATACATAACGAATTAAACACCCCAACAATAAAATCCTACATCCACGACAAATACACTACATTTCATTCTCTTCAAAATCACTCCAATCCTCTGGTTCTTTCTATCTCCTGCTGCCTGTTACCTGAACAACGCAGAAAATGGCCAAGAAATCTTCTACATCGATAAAAACAAAATCAAGTAAATAAACCAAGATAATATAAATACAACAAACTTGCTAGGCAGCCGCGCAGGCGCAAATTGCATAAAATATAAATAAATAAATCAGGATGGAAGCTCATCGTAAGGTTATTTTTTATTGGGCCATCTGTCGGGATCGTATCCAAACTCCAAACTTTTTGGCCACATTAAAACCTCACTAAGTTCCGCGAACCGCATTGAGACCTCCACCCAAGTCCTGAAGGCCAAGTCTTGTGATGAAAAAAATCTTCTTCTATAAATGACACTTCAGCTGTGAAATAAGGTAAAAAAAAAATAGTTTTTATCATATTTTAAATAGTTTTTCATCAAACCTTCAAAAATTTCTAAGGGTACATATTAATAATTGAAATATGTAATATCGAGGAAAAAAAATTATTTTAAATCTTATACATTCACTTAATTCTTTAATTCATTCCAATCTCTTGAAGGAGTTTCGAGAAATGTTTGAAATGCCAATTTTCAATTCGAAAATATTATAAATATATATGTAAGAAATATAATAGCACATAAAAACAATAAACGCAAATCTGAAATATCAAATCAATGAATGATATCTCTACTTACAGCATTATTATATAATTCCATCTAACCATACTTTTTTTTTATTATTGTAAAAAATTATTTCTTCAAAATCAATCCTTCACATTACACAATTCATAACTTATTTATGAACAGTCAATTCTTTAAAAAAAAGAACATTTGAAAAGAAACAAAAACATAAGACCACAAATAAGAAAAGAACAAAAACATTTTTATCACATTCAAATTTTATTATATTGGGTTGGCAAATAAGTCCTTTCGGTTTTTCAGTTTATTTTTATGTCACTATGATACACTTCTTATCTGATTAATTAATCTCTAAAATGGATTGTTTATCCAGTTAGTAATGTGTCAACAACTATATTTGTTAACTCTTGTTGAAACTAGCTTAGTATTGTGTTTGCTATTGCAGTGGGAATATGGAAGAAAATATCATTCATTATCTGCATATTTTGTTGTATTATTTTAAAACAGATAAGCGTGTTGCAGATGCTCATTGGAAATTTTGACATCAATGAGGTCTGGTCCTTCACATGAAATTGAAACGAGCAATGTTGAGGTCTAAGATTGCTATGGTCCTATAAGTGTCGCACACAAGCGTATATAACCATTTGCACAAACTCGGCTACGTTCCCAGTCTTAATGTATGGACCCCTCACATAATTTTTGTTTTTGAAAATCACAAAAAAATGTTATAACTTCAATACGACTTTAGCTAACTACAAGAAATTTAGCGGCAATTTAGGGTCACATAAACTACACAAAATGACATCAACAGGACCTTCGTAAACAAACTACAAATGGAGATGAAAAATAAAAACCTATAAGGAGTTTTTGTTTATTTATTCCGTATGTAGGCATTAAATCAAAAAACTATTCATACCAAAACAACGCTAGGCCCCACACCTCATTGGTCACTCGCAATTATTTATTTAGCTTAGGATGGGACCTTTTGCCCCACCCTCCATATTCACCAGACTAGCTCCAAGTGACTACCACTTATTCCGATCTCTGCAGAACTCCATCAATGGAAAGTAATTCCAAGTGAGCGGGGTAGCCGAACGGGCTAACGCGTGTGCACAGCACCGCCGTTGCCCGCCAACCTGATCTAAGGAAAGAAATTCTAAAAGGAAGAGGACATCAAAAACCACTTGGATCAGTTTTTTAACAATATACTCCAGACGTTCTATGAACATGGCATTATGCAGTTAGTGGAAAGATGGGAAAAAAACCATTTTAAATAAGGGTCAATATATTTTAGATTAAAATAAATTTTATGTCTATAACACATTGAGTTTTATTTCACCCTGAATAACCGAAATGACTTATTTGCCAACCCAATATAATTTACCTGTGGAAAGCCAAAAATAAAAATTATATGAAAAGATATTCCAATGTTAAACATTTTCGTCTTATTTAAAACAAATCGTTTTTAAAATTTTACCATGTAATTTAAATAACTTTCGCTGGCCGGATTGAAGGTGCTTGCTGACCGTAGTTTAGAAACCCGTCAAACCTAAGGGTGAAATAATGCGTTGCCCTAGACATGCAGAATTGGGTCTGTTTACCCGAGAAATGAGGGCCTGAAATTTGAATTCATACAGTTATGCAAAGGCAGGTAGTTTGAACAATCGACCGCATAGCTAAGAATAAGTACACTATTAGTCGGCCTGGTTGGTGGAGCGTCGCCAATTCTCAGCCGCCGTTCTCAGGAATTCATCTTCAATGTTGTTCAGCCCTCGTTTGTTACTTGGAGTTGATGCAAGATCGTTAATTATCCTTGAGCTAAGGCAGGCTGGCAGATGTTATTACAGTTGCTATTGGGGACAAAGCGAAAGGTGGGAAGAGGAGCAGTACCTCCGAGCGGGTAACTGCTATGCGGGAAGGAACTGTTACAAGGCCGAAGGATCGATCGCACCGCCTCAGCCTAACATGTCCGATCAAACTTGTTCATCACAATTAGCATAACATCCTTCAACAATCATAACTGTTTACGCTACATTCGTCCTGTCTATTCAGGGACCGTCAATGTAAAGAAATTATCATTAATATTTACCTTTTTTTTATGTTCTACTCACTAGCAAGACCCAACTTTCAGCAGAAAAACGTTTTCTGTATCTAACGCCCACTAATTTAATTCCACGTAATGAAAATTAGTAAAAACTGATAGTATGACTGCCAAGGAGATTATATTAGATTTTAACAATGATTTTGTTCTACGGAAACAGCTAAAACCTTCAGTTTCCAAGGTAATGCAGAATATTATTCTTAAGAAGATTATAATATATTTTAAAAACTAATGAACTAAAATACATAAAAATATATCAAAACATTTACTAAACCATTAATTGTTCCCATTTTATTTTTATGTCAGTTATACACGTTACGATATAGGCTAAATGCACAAGTCCTGACATGCTTAAGGAAATTTATTAGAACTTTTTCGTGCAAAAACTTTAATATTGATGTTATTACATTTTTCATGGATTCATATTATAGAATTATTCCTCACCTTACCAAGACATATTTCAAATCCATGAAACATTCATCTAAATTTTTAAAATTGAAAATTAAGAGAATAGTTTTGTTGTACTAGTAGCTGGCATTGTTATATTTGAAAAAGGATGTAATTAAGGGAAATTTCATATTCTTCATTTTAAGATTAACAAAAATTACCTTTAATTTATTGTAAAATTAAATTTTGCGTTTCCCGGCTTACATTTATCAAGAAATGCTGGTCACTATCAAGAACTGTTTTTGATTATAAGAGAACCTATTTTTGCTATACATTTAATTCAAATCATTAGCAATTTTTTTTAACAAGGAAGTACTGAGTGGTCTTATTTTAAGAACCGTTACTGAGTATATCTCTTTGAATTTATGAGAGTACAAGTCTGTCAACTATGTGCCAAAAGTCCCCATTAAAAGGTCCAGTAGCTGACATCCATTAAATATACAATTCCTTAATCAAGATAAGTTAAAACAGATAAAACATAATTTAAAAACACTGCAAAAGAACAATCAAACATAAATATTGGGATAAATCTGAGTAGTTAAACAGAAAAATACAATCCTGAGGTATGGTGCTCTTACTGACGGACGGTTGTTCCTGGGACACTAAGTGGATCGTGAGGGACCTTCCTAATTTGCCACTAGTTATTTTGGTTACGATTTCCGACAAGACTAAAGAAAAGCAAACAAATATACAAGGAGAAAATATAGAAACAAAAAATACATGAAATATAGGTCTAGGTAGCAATGAAATTTAATTATTCCCATTTCTCAAGGAGGTATCAGGTATTAGTACATTGTCAGCTATTGGTTCTTTTACCTGTCAGATAAACCTGCATGGGTAAACCGGAAAGGTATACCTGTGTAGGCTAGTGCACACACAAGCTACGGTAGACCAGAACTACGAAGACAACGCGGTCGCTTTACTTTTTTAAAACTGTACAAATTAACTAAAAAATTGAACAGACATATCGGAGTGACACACACACGTGTTCAAGTCTGCAGGCCTGCGCAGGTATAAAATACTAATTTTCGATTTTTCTTCGGTCGCCTGCACAGGTCGCTAAGCCTGTGAAGTTTTGTCTGCATCGATCAGCACATACGCTGCGGTTTACCTGTACAGGTGAACGGTTTACCGAAACGTAACGTATGCCCTACCTTAAATGTATCGCATACTACTTGTACCATTCATCTCTCAATTCTTCGTTCTTCCAATTTTTTTTCCTATTCATTGAAGAAGTTTGAAATGTTTACCCTTACCGATTTCTTCAACACGTACTCAAAAGGTTCGTAGTACGGATATTTGTCCTTGCTTTCTAGGTGATGGAAATCGTCTTCGGTGATGATGAAGAATTTAGTTTCTCTCAATAGTTCGATCCTTCACAAAACGTAGTCAAGCAGAAAGTTCACTAAAACGCTTAAGAAAAATTAAAAAGACAAAAGAAAATAAAGTACTAAAATGAATTGTTGCTTAGAAAAGTCTTGACTCTGTATTGGGCAATATAATCTCTCATATTGTCATTAACAAAAATAAATACAACAAACTGTTTAATTGCAATATTTGTTCTGTTCGATATTTTTTATTTAATTTTAACTCATTTAATTTATTTCTATATTTTTTTCAATCAAATATTTTTTTTTTTTTGCACTTACATTTATTTATCCACACCTGTCAATTATTATTGACAATCAGCAGATGTGCTGGCTTAGTAATGAGTGAAAAATAAAATAAAATAAAAAATAAAATAAATAAAAAGGCTTGATAGGCATGAGGAATAGCAATATCCAGCGGTATCCCTTTCATTATTTACTAACATTATTTAAGCAGATCCCTCATCCAGACCCTTTTCAGTCGTCTTCTAGAGTTCTCGGGCATAATAGTTGTGGCCATTTCTTTTACCAGCTGGTTGGAGTGCCCGTTTAACATTTTATGAAATCGTTTGTAGTACGTTCGTATGTGTTCATTGATTGTCGGAACGTGTAGGTCGGTGTGTAAAGTATGATTGTTTACGTACCATGGTGCTTGAGTGATTAGTCGTAGTATCTTAGACTGAAAAGTTTGAAGTTTATTTATGTGAGTTGGTTTTGCAATTCCGTATATTTGTAGTCCGTAAGTCCAAAGAGGTTTTAAAAGATACGTGTAAATACTTAGTTTCTGTCTTGCTTTTAATTTGGAAGGTCGTCTTAACAGTGTATGTAACAATTTTAGTCTTAGATTTAATGTGATTCGTTTTTTTTTCACATGTGGACCCCATGTCATTCTCCTACCGAACGTAAGGCCTAGGTATTGTACTCTGTCTGTTTGTGGAATCGGTATGTTGTCTAAGTATACAGGAGGGCATGTTTCTGGTCTTAGAGTAAATGTGATGTGCTGTGACTTTTGATAATTTATTTTAGTTTTCCAAAGTTTACACCAATCGAGTATAATTTGTAAGTGATGTTGTAAGTTAAGTGATGCCTCTGTAGGATTGTCGTGCCTGGTAATGATAGCAGTGTCGTCTGCGTAGGTTGCTGTAAGAGTGTGGATACTTTGAGGAATGTCGTGTGTGTATGTGATGTACAGTAGTGGGGCTAGGATTGATCCCTGAGGTACACCAGCTAAAACTGATCGAATTGAGGATAGACCTTGGCCATGTCGAACGGAGAAAAATCTATCTGAGAGAAAGGAATGGAGAATTAAGTAGTAAGTATGTGGAAGTATGGTCTTAAGCTTGAAGAGAAGCCCCTGATGCCATACTTTGTCGAACGCTTGGGCGACATCCAGAAATACTCCGGTTGCATATAATTTCCGCTCTAGTGCTGTAGAGATGTAGTCAGTCACCCTGTGCAATTGTTGTGTTGTTGAATGTAATTTTTGAAACCCGAATTGATGGTCAAGAATAATCTGTCTGTCTGTTAGTATATGTAATAGTCGTGGGTACAATAGTTTTTCGAATAACTTAGAACATACTGGAAGTAAACTAATCGGTCGATATGAAGAAGGGTTGTTAGTGTCTTTATTTGGCTTTTTAATCATGGTTATGTGTGAGTATTTCCATTGTATAGGAAATTTGGTGGTCCTGAGAATGCAATTGAAGATTGTGGTAAGAAACACTAGAGCTTTCCTTTGGCATTTGCTGGAGCGCCTCAGCAGTTATCAAGTCATGACCAGGGGTTTTTCTTTTGGGCAATTGTCTAATTTCTTGTGCAACTTGTGATGGTGTGAAAGGAGGTGGTGGTAGTGTGAGCTGTAGCGGTATGTCTAAGTTATTATGTACAAAAATACCGTGTTCTGTATTAATTAAGTCTGTATGTGGTTTAAAAACAGTGGAAAGATGGTTAGCAAAGAGTTCAGATCTTTCCTCGTCCGAAACAGCCCAAGAGCCATCATCTATTCGTAGGGGTGCTGACACCTCACGATGCTTTAAAAGATTCCTTGTATGTCTCCATAAACTTCCATCGTCCGTCGAAAGGTTGTTAATAAAATTGTCGTAGTTGGTGCTTTTGAATTTTTGAATATGTCTTTTAAGTTCGTTGTTCAATCTGTTAAAAGTTTGTCGGTCTGAAGGAAGTCTGTTAGTCTGCCATACTTTACGTGCTCTTCTCTTTGCTCTAATCAAGTCCCTTATGTACATTGGATAATGGGGCAAGTTCGCTGCTTTTTGTGGCCTGGATGTTGATGAGGCCCATGCTGCATCTTGTATGCTTTTTGTGAATTTTTCAACAGCTTCTTCTAATTCCTCATGATTTTTAATTGAACCTGGAACGGAAAGATTGGTGTTCAAATAGTCTCTATATGCGTCCCAGTCCATGCAGCCTTTTATGAGCCTAGGTCTTTTTTGTGTTTCGGAAGGCTCATCGAAGAGAACCATGTGCACTGAGGAGTGATCAGAACAAAGATCGGAGGTTGCATTGACGGCAAATGGTACGGTTCTTAGTCCTTTTGTAATAAAGAAATCAAGTAAGTCGGGAGTTTTGCGTCTGGAGGTGGGCCAATAAGTTGGTGAATTTGGTGTTACAGTGTCTAATGAAAGTTCATGGAGAACAGACCAGAGGTTTCTACCTCTTGGAGTACACAACCTTGAGCCCCAGCCTTTATGCTTAGCATTATAGTCTCCACCTGCGATGAAGCATCTTCCGAGGCGTTTGAAGAACTCAGAAAACATCGTGGATGTAAGTTTGTACCTAGGGGGGGCAGTAAACTGAGGCAAATGTTATAGTGTAGTGTTTAGTGTATAGTGTTATTCCTGTCGATTGTATGTCGGGTGTAATGGGTAAGTCTACGGGATTGTGTTTCAGTGAATTTTTGACGAGTATAGCTGTTCCTCCATGTGCAGTTTTATCTGGGTGATCAGTTCTGTAAATTGTGTAATCCTGGATGTAAATTTTTGATCGGGATGTCAGGTGTGTTTTAATTGTTGTAATGAGTGCTACGTCGATTCGT